TCCCAAAAGAAAGTCACTGAGACATATTATAATCAAACTTGCCAAAGATAAAGAGAGAATTTTAAGAGCGGCTAGGGATAAACGAAAAGTCATCTACAAAGGAGAGTCAATAAGAATAAGCTCAGACTACTCAGTAAAAAATTACTATCATAGTAAAAAACACCAGTTGCTGTTAAGTCAATTCTGAACTCATTGTGACCCCACGTGTTTCAGAGTAGAGCTGCATTCCACAGTTTTCAATGGCTGTGATCTTTCGGAGCAGACTGCCAGACCTTTCTTCCGAGGCACCTCTGGGTGGCTCTGAACCACCAATCTTTCAGTTAATAGCTGAGCGCTATCATAATAAAGGAGCCCTGGTGGCACAGTGGTTAAGAGCTCGGCTGCTAACCAAAAGGTAGGCAATTCAAATCCACCAGCCACTCCTTGGAAACCCTATGGGGCAGTTCTACTCTGTCCTATAGGGTTGCTAATGAGTTGGAATAGAATCGACGGCCAATAGTTTTTTTTTTTTAATCACAGTAAAAGTTAGATACTAAAACAAGTGGGCGAAAGCCTGCCAGGAATGGGGTATTTACATTGTCTCACAGTATCTCCGCACAAAATAATTACGAAGAGAAATAAAGTAACATGATGGTACAGAAACCTGCCAGACACCACCTTAATCATCACCAGTAATGGGACAAACCGAAATCATGCATCACTCTTTAGGAAGCAGTGAGAACACAGCATCACTTTGCGCTGTTTCTGCAAAAAATGCATAACCTATATTAATCACGAGTAAACATCAGACAAACCTAAATTGTGGAACATTCTACAGAATAACTGGCCTGTAATCTTCAAAAGTATCAAGGTCATGAAAGTCAAATAAAGACTGAGGAACTGTTCCAGATCAAAGGAGACAGGACAACTAAATGCAATGTGTGATCCTGGATCAGAGACTTGAGCGATAAAGGAATATTGGGGCAAGTGGTGAAACCTGAAATAGGGTCTCTTGAATTAGCTGTAGTATGTTTCATTGCTAATCTTCTGGTTGTGATGGTTGTTTTGTGGTTATGTAAAATGTCCTTGTGTGTAGGAATTACACACATTCTATCAAGCATTTGAAAGTGCTCAAATGATTCAGGGGAAAAAAGTTCATTGTAAACAACAAAAAATCCTGCTATGATGTTGACTGGGGTTATTTTTAAGTATTGGATTATTTAGGACTGATTACATTTCTCAGTTAGAAACAAAACAAAACCTCATGTCACTTCTTAGTAAATGTACAAATCTCATCCCCGGTTTTCTAGTATGTGCCCTTTCTGCAAATCGTTGCTATTTTCTGTGTATCTGAAGTTTCTGTTACTAGAACATTTTTTGTTCATAATATAGAACAGGGGTTGGCAAACTGTGGTAAAGGGCCAGATAGTAAATATTTTAGGCTTTGCAGGCCATATGGTCTCTATTATAACTACTCAATTCTGCCATTGCAAAAGCATTCATAGACAATATGTAAACAAATGTGGCATGGCTGAGTTCCGATAAAACTTTATTTACAAAAACGGGCAGCGGGCCAGATTTGACCTGTGGGCTGTAGCTTACCAACCTCTGACATAGAATACATTTTTTAAACTATGCATATCCTTTGACCCACTTTTAGGAATTTATTTAGCTGAAGACTGGAAACAGCCTCAATGTACAGTTAACAGGGTACTAGTTGTATAAATAATAGTACCTAAGGATAATGTAGGCGCCATTGTGGCACAGTGGTTAAGAGCTCAGGTGCTAATAGAAAGGTCGGCATTTTGAACCCACTAGCCACTCCACACGAGAAAGATGTGGCAGTCTGCTTCGTCAAGATTTATAGCCATGGAAACCCTATGGGGTAGTTCTACTCTGTCCTTTAGGATCACCATGACAATTTTTCAACTCGATGGCATTCTTCTTTTTAAAGGATAACGTACCTCAGGAAAACTATATAGTCATTAAAAAATAATGTGTAACTAAGTGTTTCTGCACATACATGCTTATTTCCTTAGGAAGACCTGGGCTCAATCCTGCCTCCATCGATCTCAAGACATGGGATCTCAGGGAAGGAAGGCATTCCTGAAGATGTGCGCACCTCCGCAGTTATCACCTTAGCTCTTCACCTTTAAGGTAGGCGTGATAATGGGACCTCATAGATACCGTGACAAAGAAATTAAATAATACATAGAAAATCACTTGGTGACATATAAAGCACCACAAGGGAGGAGGAATTATTCTAGGACAGGCTTCAGACTTCCTCCTGCTTGATTTCTGCTCCTATAGCCCAAATTCAAAGCCATGTCTTCTCCACGCAGGAGATGCACAACTTCCTGCTCTCACTAGTGACGCTTTTGTCTAGACAACTAGGCTCTCTATAGACAACTAGATGATAAATTCCTCAATGGCATATATGTACGTGGAAACCCTGGTGGCATAGTGGTTAAGTGCTAAGGCTGCTAACCAAAAGGTCGGCAGTTGGAATCCACCAGGCACGCCTTGGAAACTCTATGGGGCAGAATCCACTTGACAGCAATGGGTTTGGTTTTTTTTTTTAATGTATGTACGTATACGTAATCTCTGTCCCCAATTTCCATTGTAGCACCTGCCATACATAAGACATAAAGAGTCAAGGTGGAAAAATAAAAAAAGTGTAGGATTTGAAGTCAGAAATGTGAGGTGAATCCTGGTGTTTGTCTTTTATACCCTATGAGATTATGAAGACTCCAGGGTCTCCATCTGTCACATGGCACAGTCCCTGGGCTCCAGCTGGCATGCACAGAGAATAAAACCTGCCTCACAGAGCCAAAGGGATTCCAGAGTATTAGAGCACCTTCATGAATGCCAAAAATAAGAACATCCTGGGTGAATCTAGCATCTCAGATGGATCTAACCTAAATGCTCCTGCTGCAAAGCTAGGCTGCCTCTTCCTATTTCTTCTCATCATTACCAATCATCAGCATATTCATTAATTTTCTTACTTTACATCAAATTCCATGGTTCTGACTTGGATTTTTTCATTCTTGCTACTGTTTTGGATATGTAAAATAAACTTTATTATTAAAAAAATATATATCTGCCCCTATCCAACCCCCAAAAGAGACTCCCATGAAGAAAAAGCCAACCAAAATATACCTGTGTTTCATCTGATTTCTAAAGATAAGCTGTACTTGGCCCTCTGAACTGAAGAGAGCCCATCTGTCAGGCAGAAATGTCCACTTACTACCCACCCCAAATGATGCTGACACCCAACACTCAGATCAAATCAAGGCATGTGTCAGCATCGTCTTAAAGAGCAAGTCGAGGGGTAACCAGACACAAGCCATTAGTGCTGAGGAGAGGAGGCAGGTGCAGAGGTGTGCGTGGTACCTGAGTAGGCGTCTGCTCAGCCGCCTGGATCTGAAAGTTCTGGGAGGGCTTCTGGGGGACGGTGGGGAGGGTGGCGGATGCCGCCTGCACCACCCGCAGGGCCTGCTGGGGAATCTGCACCACTTGCTGCTGCTCGACCTTGGGGGGCACCACCTGGACCTGCTGGACCACGGCCGGCTGGCCCCCACCAGGGCTCTGGACGATCAGCAGGTTGTTTCCTGCCTGGATGATGTTGTCTGCAGTGGTCTCAATCAGCACCGTCTCCACCTGCTCCGCCATGGCCACTGGGGGCTGGGAGGCAGAAAGGCTCTTCTTCCTTGCTTTCTTGTTAGTCTTGGACAGTGGGGTTGGGGGGCTTTCAGTGAGGAGCTGCGTCGTGGCTCCAGTATCGCTGGTGTTTACGAGGTTGTTGACAGGCAGAGTGAGTGTCACATTGCCACCCCCACCAGTCAGCTTCACCACATTGGCCCCACTCTGCACGGGGGTGGTGGTTGTACTCGACTTCTGGACGGGGGCTGGTTTGATGGGGACAGGTTTATGGCTGGATGGTGATGGCGTGATGATGGCTTGGTTGGTGCCAGGGATGATCTGGATCTGGTTGGTGAGATTGGGCTGTACTTGGATGGTCTGGGAACTGCTCGCCTGAATCTGCGGGACCGCCTGGTACTGGATATTGGCATTTGATCGGCTCCCTTTGTTAATCACGGTGGGATTCTGGATAGCGAACACCAGCTGCCCTCCAGGATAAGACGTGCTCAGTTGTGACCCCTGAATCTGAAGTATGTTTCCTTTGGAGGACAAGATTCCAAAGCTATTTTTGCCAGGGCTGAGAGGGAGAGGGGCGGGTTTGATAGGGACGAGTTTCCGTGGTGTGGGCTGGGGGGGAGCAGGAGGTGTCACAGCAGCTTCCACAGCTGGGGGACCAATTTTGCTACACGTTGCAGCAAGCAGGGCTAAAGGAGACGGTTGGGAGTCCTGCAAAAAACCAAGCAGAGAAAAGGAGTGAGACATGAGGGCCTATCACCCCAGCTGCCCTTCTTCCCTTTAGGACCCTTCTCCTTCGTGGCTCTTTCCTGCCTCTGTGGTGGGCATGCTGCTGGCATCCTCCCTATAGTGGCTCCTGTCTTCCCTTCCCTGCTGGCTTCTCCATTAAGTAAGTGAGGGAGAGAGGGTGGGGAATGTCTTTCTCAAGAAGGAACTCCCCAGAAGCACCCCATGGGCAAGGTACGTCTGAACAGCCTGAACTGACCACTGACTCGCCACAGGCCTGGTTGCTAACAGGAGCACGGAATCATCCTCAGGTCTTGAGCTTTCTCGATGGAGTTCCATCAGCCCACCACAGGGGTTGAGGGAAGGAAGGAGGAAAGGAGAAGCAACAGGAGGGATAAACACTTCAGTAAAGTGTTTTCCAGTTCTTGGTTCGTGAGAGTTTATACACTGGGGAGGGCTGCTCTTTTCAGGCCCCAATGAAAGGACCTCTAGGGTCTGGGCACACAGCCTCTATTTTACTTTTATGGACAGTGGGGTCTGGTGGAAGGAACCGTGGGTTTAATCCTGGTTTATACCCTGACTCAACTGTGGCACCTTAGGTAAATGACCATGTTTTCTTAGTTCAGAAAATGCAGATAGCAAACGGGACTAATGAGACACAGCAGTCCAGGGACAAGGACTAGAAGGCAGAAGGGGACAGGAAAGCTGGTAATAGGGAACCCAAGGTTGAGTAAGGACAATGTCGACATGTAGTGGGGTTATTAACCATTGTCATAGGGCAACATGTGTACTAACTGTTTAATGAGAAATTATTTTCTTCTGTAAACCTTCATCTAAAGTGAGAATAGCAGCACAACTGGAAGAACGTAATCGATGTCACTGAATTGTGCACAGCGAAATTTTTGAAATGGTGTATCTTTGGCTATGTATATTTTCACCAAAAAAAAAAAAAGGTCGAGAAGGGGGAGGGCTGACATGTTGTGGGGTTGTTAACCAATGTCATAAAACAATATGTGTACTACTGTTTCATGAGAAACTATTTGTTCTGTAAACCTTCACCTAAGGTACAATTTAAAAAAAAAGAAAATGCAGATAGCTGAAGCTTCCCTGGGCTCATATCCTAGGGTATCTGTAGTGAGACTGTGCAGGGGACAGTGCAGAGAAAGCATTTTCAGTTGTGGTTTAACCTGAGCCCCAGTTGAGTCCCTCCAGGTGGATGCAGCCCCCAGCCCTCAGAGCCCCTGCCCACTCACCTGGGTGGTGGAGGCAGCAGGCTGCAGGTAGTCACTGGGGCTGACAGCGGCAGTGGCAGCCATGCTGGTCTGTGGATCTGCTGAAGAAAAGAGACGGAGTAACGCACAAGACGCTCAAAGAATCAAGCCCCCTTGCCTCAGATTTTCTTTTGGCCGTTATTTCCTGCTTCTTCTCCAGGAGAGGTTAATGACCCTTTCCCCACACATCCCCATTCTAGGTTAGCAGACCTATGTCTATTCCAGTAGATGACCTTCTCTTAAGATTCAGCCATCTGTGGCCATGAGGACAGGTGATCCTGCTTCCACTGGACTGTCCCCTCCAGCCATCATAAAGTCTAGGATAACATGAAGATACCAAGACTGTTTTCAGTAACTACGCTGTGCCACCTAACAGAGCCCTCTCTCTGCGGGGCACTGCCAACTCTCCCTAGCTAGACTGAAACCCCTACATAGTGGGCAGGGGGAGCCCCCAGCTCATCCTCTATCTCTAAGTCAAGTTTCCTGCCCACTCCTGCTATAGCCAGCTGCCAAGCCAGCCTGGGAGAGAAGCAGTGCTTGGCCAGGATTCCTAAGAGGATCATCTGCTCCGTTCGTATGTCTTGGGTGTTTTGTGCTCAGCTTTCACCACAAAGGCACAATGGCCCCAAGTATCAATATATAGCAGATGGGTAATTTCTTTAAATGAATATAAACTTTTACATAGGACAAAAGGTATGGCCTCATAGGTAGCATCAAGACTAGGTAGGGTCAGTGGCCAAATATAACTAGAAGGATGAAAATATAGTGAATTCACTCTTTGCTTTAAAGTGTGTATATATTTCTATACAAAAATATAGCTGAATAGGAAAAAAAGTCTAACAAAGAATGCTAAAATGTTAAAAAACCATTACCTCTGGGTGGAAGAATTTTGCTGGACTTGAAAGTTTTTCTCCTTGTTTTCCTGTATTCTCTCATTTTCCCACAATGAACATACTCTAGTGTACCTTTATTTTTCAATAAAGGATGAGGAAGTAATGAAAGGAATCTAGTCTGCACTTAAGTCTGATCCAAAAGAAAGATGAGGTAAGTAAAATGGAAGTCACGAGAATTTGTAGGGGAAGAATCTACACCATCTTACCGTTCATGAATCTCCAAGGAAAAGAACACCGGGCGCCTGTATGCTAGGCCTTGTACTTAGGAAGTACAGATACAAGAGGGGCAGGACCTCAGGCACTCAAAGAGGCAAAAAGACTCAAGAAAAAGAAATTCTTAAATAAAAACCATAAATTAACCCTATGATGAATATGAGGAAGCAGCAGCTACATAAACAAATGGGGCCTGATTTCAATCACTTTTAATGTGATGCTTCTCTGCCCATTTTGCTTAGCATGGGGCTGCGGAGGGAGTGAGCAGGGGGCTTGGTTGGGACCACAGACTTGATTTTATTAGGTCATGTGTAAAAGAACCAAGGTGGCCCAGGCCAGGAGAGCTGGCATTTAAAGACTGACACCTGGAAAGGGACTTTGATGAATATTAAAGATCGCCAAAAGGGCCTTTAACTAAAAAACTACACTTAGCTCAAGAAGAACCAGGGAGGGGTGAGCCCCCATTGGGCATTTGATGAGAAGAGGATAGAGGTTGGAGAGAAAGCAGAACCATTCAAATTTTGGCTGCCCTCTGGCTTCTCCAGGAGAATGATTTCTTAAATAGGAGAAGGGAAAGAAAAGTTCAGGGGAACTGAAGCCAGGACAGGTGATGGGCTGGTACGAGGACTTGCCAATGGTCTCCAGGCTCTGAGCCCAACGAACTGCACTCCAGAGTATGAAAGCCTTCACAAACGCACTTGCAACCGTGTGAGGAACCAGAGGGCAGCTCTGGGCCACATCTTCTACGTAGATTCTGCAATATTACAGACACTAATCCCTGGCAAAGTCCTAAAACAAATGACTGAACAGCACTGCAATTACTTAGGAAAGGAAGAAGTGATCACAAGGAGTAAGTATGGGGGTTGCGAAAAACAAGTCATGTTGAACAAACCTTAGTTTCTTCTTTATAGGACTTTGGATCAAGAGAATGGTATATATACACCATGCATTTTATTCAACGAGGCATCTGACTAAATTTTTCCTAATATTCTTGTGAACAAGAAGGTAAAAAATGTGGACCGGATGACAGTTCCATTGGGGGGCTAAGCTGAGCATACCTTCACTAAGTGGCGAGGTCAAACATCCAGAAATCTGCTGCTGCAGTATCAGCCAGTATGTGTCACAAGATAGGTGGGTCCCAGGAACAGGGTCCACAGGCTTCTCCTCGGGGGCTCGTGCTTTCTCTATCAGGATTTCTTTTTTTTTCTTTCATTTTGATGATCAGCTTTTTAAAAATGAACATTATACTATAGGTCACTGGGTGACTGCTGCTAAACCAAGTCCTGCTGTGTCTCAGGGCCTATATTTGTGTTTACACCTACCTGCATTGGTGCCACATGGTACTGGCATCACTGCATGGGCTAATTCAGACAAGTTAAATTCTAACACATGGCACGTTTGTGCAAAGTGAAGGCCTAATGACACTGAATCAGAAGTCTTTCGAGCACTGTGACGTAGGGCACTAGTACACTCTGCGGGGTGGGCCTGTGGAACTCAAAGAGACCCTAGAGTGTCAAGTCTGTGCCCTGCTTACGCTGAAAGCAGCAATTCAGGTTCAGTAGAGAGCATCGTCCTCCCTATTGTTGGTTTGAATTTTACTGGCTTTTTGGTCACTATTTGTTAATTTCATAGGTACTAGATCCATGAACTGATACATAGATTTATGTTTGCACATAATTAAGTTGTAGCATTATAATGAAAACAATCCAAGTCAACTAAAAAACATTTTTCCTTCATAGCAGTGTTCAAACTATTCTGAACATGAACCAGTTATAAAAAATATTACATCAAGACCTGACCCAACACACACACACACACACACACACACACACACAAATACTTCCTTGTCCTGTGCTTAAGCAATAAGTTTCCTGAAACAGAATTTACCCTTACTGCATGTGATATACGTTGATATTTTTCTGTTCTACTTCATTTTTTAAATTTTGTGACCCACTACATTGATATTATGACTTACAGGCTGGAAAATGTGCCTTTACAGTAGTCTGTCTGGTGGCAGTGGATCCACTACCCACGTTTAGGAAACAGTTCAAAGACCCAGAAGGCAAGTAAAACTTGCCAATGTCATGAATACAATGAGTGTAGCTATTAGAGTTTAAAGAGATCTTCTAAAACTGGTAGGTGCAGTGTTTCAGAGCAGGAGGCTCCAGTCCTGAGAATCCTAACTGTGGCGGTCATCAGCTGGGTGGCTGGGGCATCCCTCTCTCAGTCTCATCACACCTTCTGAAAACAAGGTCATGTCCTCATAGGATTTCTGTGAGGCTTCAATAATTTATATAAAAAGCATCAAGCACAAGACCTGGCATATAGCAGGTAACCAATAAGTGGTGGTTTAAACTTGGAAGTTTAGTAAATCCTGCACTTACGTTTTAAAAAAAAACAACAACATACATACATGCACATCATACAGGAAGACAGGGCCTAATATTGGTTCTTGTGTGAAAAAGCCCCAGTGGTTTTCTGACTCAGCTAAATGGGAGCCAGTAGAGTCTAGATATGACTGCCAAAGAAGCTATCACAATCTCAGACTGCATTGCTAAAAGTTCAATCACAGAACAAGAAAAATAATAGTCTTAGTGTATTCTGCATATTTGGGCTACCTTTGGAGGGTCAAGTTCTGTCCTGAGGATCACTGTGAGAGGAGAGGCTTTCAGTGGAAGCTTATTCAGAGAAGAACGACGATGGCTGTGACCAGGATGCCCAAGTGGGGGTATCCACTAGGATATTTATTCCATACGTAGGCCCAAAGGGTAGGACCAAGACTTTTGGGTGGAAATTTCAAGAAGGTAGATTTCGGTTTAATGTGAGGGAGAACTTTCAAAAGATAGAACCTATGGCCTTTTGTGGTCATGTTCTCCCTTCCCTGGAACCATTTAGCCAGAGGCAGGCTGTGCATCTCAGCTGGAAACAAGATGTCTTTATGGCGTGGGACGTTGGACTAAGTGATCTTTTTAAGATTTTTATAATTCTCAGACCATGTTGCTGATAAAAACACAGGATTAGTTTCTGGCAGGGCTAGGAAGGGAAGGCAGGGGCTCTTTTCAGAGCTCCCCTGGGCTCAGGCTTGCTTAACTAAAATTGATGAATGACTCTCCCCCAGACATGCTCTATTATGAAACAGAGGGACACTGGAAAAGGATAGAGTATGGATGAAACGAAACAAAAACAGGCCCAGCACATCCTTCATCATCTCTTTTACATCTCCCTTGCTCCCTCGGCAGTCATTATTACCCTGGACTCAAACTGTTTGGAGACCGGGCTGGGCTCTTAGCGATTCTTCAGAGTTAGGACATTAAAGCATAAACTACTGGAGCAAGATGCAGACTGCTGGCGCTTGACGTTGTACCGGTTCAATTTGGTTTCATTTTCCTCCCCAACTAGCTTTTGAAATACTCATCCAGATCTCAAACCACGTTTGTAAGTATCTCTCCTAGTGTCACTCAGGGCTTTTCAGGCCCTGGGTTGCAGACCTGGGCAACCAAAACAGAGTAAGCTCTCCCTGCCATTGCAGAATTATATCCTGAGATTAACCACGAAAGGGAAAAGAGAAGCATTTGCAGTTGGCGTTTGTAAGTCTTAAGTGGTTAAGGAGAGATAGCGTAGATACGGAACTGCAAGACTATGATCAAAGGTACTTGAGAACCTCATTAATTTGGAACCTTCTATTTAAAATGCACAAGTGGGACATAAATTATGCTTAACTTTTCCTTATACTATTCAAAGAGAGATAAATAGGGTATGAAGATTGCAAAGGGACTCTTAGGCATGGTTATGTAATTGTTTCAGACCACTTCCGCCATTTTAATAATTTGCTTTTAACAGCAATTTACATCTAGTCACCAAAACCTACATTTAGCAACACTGGTAAGTGGGATTACTGCATATGCTTGAAAGAAAAAGCTGCATTTCTTTCAAAGTTATATCATTCAGACTTGTCATTAAT